CTTCATAGAGTAGAGGGGCAATATTCAAAATGGAAACTTGTACAAACTCTCTTTCTAATAATTTTGTTCTGAAGGGTTTCCCAGCCCTCAAAAAAGAACAAGAAAGGGGCAAAGTTTTTTTTTTGTATTAAGAAGGAGGGAAGGAGGGGGAGGTTAGGGGTAGACAGAGAAGAGGGGACTTATTAGAGAAGGGGTTTATTGGAAACCATCCCATGTAAGGAAAGGAAAGCCAACTGTAAATAAATAATACACGTTTAAGTCACAAAATGAATGCAAATTTAATCTATTTGCCAGATAGACATGTATTTAGTTGTAAAGATTTGTAGATGTGATTTGACTGAAAAGAAATAGTATTACAAATATATAAGTACAAAATGTAACAAAAACAAGAACAACAAGAAAAGACTAAATGAAACAGAAACAAACTCACAATTTGTGGCATAACTTGGTTGAGCAGTTAAACATAAAAGCAAAACATGGTGTTCATGCAAACTAACAAAACAACTTAGCTGAAATCAACTAGCTATGAAATGCTCTTATTGGTGAAAAATAGGTATCTACTGGCATAAAATAATTCTTACATAACCTCACACAAAAATGCAGACTTAATTTAATGGGGTTAGAACATCACAAAAGTAATACTGTACAGTAGAAAGAAAAGCAACATCAAATTATTTTGCAGTTACTTGATATCAAATAGACATGCAAACTCTAATTGCTACTGAACACCAACATATTCTTGGTCAAAAGTAATCATAGAGTTATTTTGGACTTGACTGAGAGATAGAAGCAGTTGTGAATGATATATAATATATATAATTTATTTTTTATACAGGTCCTTGTATATGACAGATATGGTCAGGACATAATATCTCCTCTTTTAAATGTAAAAGAGTTACGTGAAATGGGTATAACATTGCATCTGTAAGTTGAAATCCAATAATTTTATTACTTTGTAGACTGATATCCTGTTCAGGAGCAAGTCACAAATTCAATTTTTGCTTCAGATGTACTTATTAGTTATTATACACAACAATTCAAGCCACTTTGACCACTTTGAGGGGTATGAGCTGGTGACCTTGGCCTCTTACTATAAATGGTTACCAAGTTCTTTCCATTTTTTAATTGAGATGTGGTTGAGAATTGAGACAGTATAGGTTGGACATAAGACTTAAAATACATTGCCTCTACATTTCAAAAAGCATTGTCTACTTAATAAAACATCAAGTCTTTTTGTGATTAAATAATTAATATTAAATGAGTGACTTTTAGAGCCATTTGTAAGATCCAAAATGTGGTGTTTAGATGAAACTTTTATTTTTTATGCAACATGGTGGGTTCTGTGTTATTGACTAAATTTTCTTATTTTCCCTTTAATGCCCAAGATCTGATTGTTAATTCTCCCATCTAGCTGCTACATATTTCCATGTAAATTAGTAATGAGGATTTGTGGTGAAATCAGGATTGCAACTTCTACCTGATAAGTTTGAGTATTCCCATTTCCTGTTTGCTGGATAATGTATGGAAATTACAGGGAGAAGTTTCATGTTAATCCCCTCTGGGAGTTAAAGCAGTAATTTCTGATCAGTTCCCAATAATGTTGTCCAGGGCCGGGTTGTTCAAAGCTGGGTTAAGATAACCCAGGGTTAGTGTAAAATGTGATTTCAGATTTGAAAGTTTAAAAGGAAATTTAGTTCCAATCCTCTTGACCACAATTTGATGATTGGATGCCCTAAGAGGAACAGAGGAGATAATAACAAAAAGGCATTTGAATAAAGGATTAAAGAAACCCAGATTAAAATTTAACTCTGGGTCAGAGTTAATCAGACTTAGAACAACCAGGCCCTCTGCCCAGTTTGATGATGCATGTACTTTATTTCTCTTTACAGTCTTCTACATTCTGACAGAGATGCTATCCCAGAAGTTCCTGCTATTTATTTTGTTCTCCCTAGTGAGGAAAATGTTAAGAGAATATGCCAGGTTGGAAACATTTTAATTTATTATTTGAATAAAGTATGTCTTTCCACAGTTTTTTGTATAATTTCTCTCATAACTGAAGGTGAATATGTGATAAGGCTGTTGGTGATTTTTTAAAGCAATGTTAAATTTTACTTTTTTTTTGATAAGTTGGTATGAGGAGGAGTTTCTTAAAGCATATTTTCCAGATAATTCTCCAATGCAATCTATGTGAATGTGGTTAATCCTTTCTACTCCTGATCACCATTATGGTAGTATCCATTTATTAAAAGCTCTTTTTTTACCTATTTTTGTTATTTTTTCAGGACTGCAGAAATCAACTTTATGAGTCATATTACTTGAATTTTATTTCTGCGATATCAAGACATCGTTTAGAGGATCTTGCTACAGCAGCTCTACAGTCAAATAGTGTCACTCAAATCACTAAGGTACATCAAACTGCAATTTGCAATTTATTCAAATTGATTCCTAGGTTCTAGAAATGCTTAGTATTGTTATTTTTTAAAGTGAGACATATGCAGGGTTTAAAGTTGGCAGAAGTTTGGCAAACCTGCCTTTTATTACATATGTCAGGATTCTTGAAGGTGTGTCCATCAGGGACAAACAGGCTGAGAAGATTGACTGGAAATGACTAAGATAACATCCTCTTAAGCCAACCTATCAATTTAAGGTCATGGAAAATATAAAAAAGGGTTTTAAAAATTAATGATTTTTGTGAGATTGAAAATGAACAAGCCCCAAATCGGTGTTTGTCTGTTACTACTTGATGGAGAGAATAGGTACCTGTAGATATTAAAGTACTCTTGAATTCTGAAATCTTGTTTGCATTATTCTTTTTTATTTCCCAATAGGTGTTTGATCAGTACTTAAATTTTATTTCTTTGGAAGATGAAATGTTTACAGTGAGAAATCAAGACAGAGATTCAATATCATATTATGGTAAGCAAATTCTTGTTGTCATTCTGCCAGACATGGTGACTAACAACTTACATCTTGTTTATAGAAAGGTGCCTGGAATGTACAGATATTGATCACATTTTTAATATCCCTTTGATGACCCCTAAGAGTGACTGGCTCCTAATTTCTCCTTACAAACAAATTAATTATTACAAACATTAAGGTCATGAGAGCAAAGGAATACTTGATCAACAAATTCTCCTTGTCAGCATCATAAGGAAATGTACAGAAAAGAGTGTGGAGAATATACATACTGATGTTAGGATAAAAAATGATTAATTAAAGAAAATGTCTTTATTTTCCAGCCCTTAACAGACCAGATGCCAAAGATACTGACATTGAGATGCTAAGAGATGTTTTAGTGGACAGTCTCTTCAGTGTACTCGTGTCTTTAGGTTAGTTGATATTCGTGAATTTAAGAAAGTGTTCTAGCTTTGTGAACTGTCTGATCTCCGTTGAGTTTCAAGTACAAATACTATGTAATATGCTTGTCAAAATTTTTCCATGTGAAAGGCATGGGAGTTTTTGTTTTTGTTGTCTTCATCCAGGAAAGGACCATACAGTTTATTTATTTCTACAGGCACTGTTCCAATAATCAGATGTCCAAAAGGGAATGCTGCAGAAATGGTAGCAGAGGTAATCAGGAACTTGCTTCCTTTTTTTTTTATTTTCAAGCCCAAACAAAACAATAGTTTTTGTTAATTCTTGAACTCACTCCTCTCTAAAAGGCACACCTCCACCTGGCCAAAATTTAAAATAAGCATCCCTCCATCAACGTAGTGCCTCCTCTCCTTCCCCTTTTTTTCAGGGACGTGCACTGGGATTTTAAGTAGTGGCCTTGTTTAATTGTTCTAGTCTGGCCTCACAAATTTATACTGATCTCATCCATTTTTTCATTAAGTTTGGAAAGTTTTCATTAAATTTGGAAAGCTTCTTTGAAAACTTAAGGGTCTGATTGGTTAAACAAAGTTGAGTCATTGTTTAACAAAACATGTCTGAAACAATTCTCAATGTAGCTGAACCTTTTATCTGAACACATATTTTTGTGAACATTGTCAATATGGCTGAAAGCTGACAGTGGAAGGAAATTTAATTAATTAAATCAACCCTCTTGAAGTGAAATCCTGAAGCACAATGCTTGTGTAGAACCATGGTTTGGAATAAACCTTGTGTAAATAACTGACCCTAGGAGTTTGAGCATAATGTAGATTATGCTGTTTATGTGCAAAGTGTGGATTACCAAAACAATCACATTGGGAAAATTGTTTAATAAGAAGGTGCCCCTTCTCTATTCACCCTTTAACCCCTAAGAGTGACTAGCATCTAATTTCTCCTTACAATATTACCCTTGAATCACACTTGAAGGTCATGAGAATAAAGGACATGATCAGTAACCAGAGAAGCTCTTGATTGTTAAACAAATTCTCCTTGTCAGCACCTTAGGAAATGTATAGGGAACATTATGGAGAATGTGTGTCCTGATATAAGGGTGTAATAGGTTAAACACCTCCCTCAAGTGAGCTCCCTCTCTCTCCTTCTCTTGCTCCATGTTTTTCTGAAAGTAAAATAAATGCTTTAGCCACTTGTGGGACTTATTTTACAATTTCGTGATTCTTTTTATAGGGACTGGATAAAAAGTTGAGAGAAAATCTGAGAGATTCTAGAAACAGTCTGTTTACAGCAGATATTCCATCTGGCCAGTTTAGGTTTGTGTAGATATGCACAGCATCAAAAGTATGTTTTTACAAGTTGTGACACCTTTAGCTGTATGCCTTGCAACAAATCACTCAAACTCAATCTGGTTTGAATTTTTGCAAGGGTCACCTTAGTTAAATGAGTTGCAGTGAATTTTTCTTTAAAACAGTACATGCAAAACAGTTCCTTTTTTTCATAAGAGTAATCTGTAGTTGTAATGTAGTGACCAGACAGAGAGATTCATGACTAACATATCTTTGCAACATCAGTTTTCAGCGACCTGTGCTTGTAATTTTGGACCGTAACATGGATCTGTGTACCCCTTTACATCATACATGGACATACCAAGCTCTTGTGCATGATGTCCTTGTAAGTCACAATATTATTCTGTTTTAACTCTCAGTGCTCTCATCTGTTTCACCCTTAAGAGTGACTAGAATCTAATTTCTCCAAACAATATCACCACCAAAACTCACATTAAGGTCATGAGAATAAAGGAAGTGATCAAAAACTTAAAGAGCTCTTGATCGTCAGACAAATTCTCCTTGTCAGCACGTAAGGTAATGTATAGAGAGCAATATGGAGAATATATATACTGATGTTAGGATGTAAAGGGTTAATGCCATCATTTGTAATGATAAATAATAATTGGTGAGCTAAGATGTTATCAGTAGCCTATTTAATTTATTATTTCTCCAGGATTTACATCTGAACAGAGTTGTTGTCAAAGAGTCAGCAACGTCAAATACCCCAGAGTCTGCAGATCCTCACCACAGACATCCCAAACAAACGAAAGTTAAGTCATATGACCTCAGTGCCACAGATAAATTCTGGGGATTGCACAAAGGAAGGTGAGTGTTCAGACATGTGACATATGTGTATCACTTGTTTAACTCTTTTACTCCTAGAAGTGATTTCACCTATCTTCTCCCCTAACCTTTTAACCCCTGAGATTGACTAGTATCTAACTTCTCCCAACAGTATAACCCCTGCATCACACAGTAAGGTCATGAGAATAAAGGAAATGATCACCAACTAAATCTTCTCTTGATTAATAACCAAACTCTCCTTGTCAGCACCTTAGGAAATGTTTAGAAAACAGTATGGGGAATATGCATGCTGATGTTAGGGTGTAAAGGGTTAAATATCCATACAATATTGAGCAAAATGGTAATACTAAAATACTAAAACTTATCAGGTTGAAGTTGTATATCTTAATCTAACAGTAAATTTACAAGGAAATGTGTGTCAGCTAGAGGGAAGAATTAACTTTTAGATGTTGAGGGTGATGCTTCCTCTGTGATTTCCTTTTTCCTTCTTTCAGATGCTTTTGTTGAATCAGGGAAATATTTTTAGTAGTGAAATGAGCACTAAAGAATTTCAAACATAATCATCTATCATCAAAATTAAGGTGGCTTGCACCTAAGGTTTTTTGTTTGGTTGGCAAGCAGGCCATACTTCAAATCATGTGTTGATTTTTTTTCGTGATTTGTGAGCTCTTAGCTCTTGTTCTTTAAATTTTAAAGGTCTGATGCCGTAACCTGCAATTTATGCCTCATTCTATTTTTGTGTGTGTCTTTTATAGTCCTTTCCCGACAGTGGCAGAGTCAATTCAGAAAGAACTTGATGAATACAGAACTTCTGAAGAGGAAGTGAAGAGACTGAAAAATGTCATGGTAGGACATAGAGTTTGTAAACGTTATATCAAGAGATACTTTTATGCTTCCGTGCACTTGAAAGGTAATGTTAGGTGAAGTCAGCAATAGAGCCAAATTGCTCATCTGTTGGGAGCTTATTCTGTTTTTCATAGGACGAAGTGAGCAGGAGTATTACTTCTCCCCCAGGATGGGAAGATAACCTACTGCAGGTTTCCTTTTTCCCCCCTCAGTCAGCATTTCATGAGGCTTCCCTGACAATTTGCTGATATCCATTTATCCTCATGTAAACACAATGACCTAACCATGTCCTAGCACCAGACCTCTCTACTTAGAGTCTAATGCACACAATAGCAACCGGTTAAGAAAGTCAAGTCGCCTAAGAGTCATCTTGTGTGAAGTCATGTTGCCCGATACATTTAGTCATGTCACCAGAAGAAATAATCACTTTAAAGATCAGATTTACCTTACTTACTTAACCCTTTAACTCCCAAGAGTGACTAGCATCTAATTTCTCCTTACAATATCACCCCTGAATTAAACATTAAGATCATGAGAAAAACTGAACTGATCACCAACTAAAGAAGCTCTACATTGCTAACCAAGTTCCCCTTGTCAGCACCTTAGGAAATGTATAGAGAACAGTATGGAGAATATGCATACCGATCTCAGGGTGTAAAGGGTTAAAGCTGCTACTAATTGTTAGGCCACTGTGTCTCTTACATGTAAGTAAGGATGAAATTTGTAATTCTCCTTACTGTCAACCATACAATTCTTATGATGTTAGTTCAGAGAATTTAGTAATGGTTCAACTAATTATCCCCAAATTGATATTTTTCTTTATTCTCATCACTTGTCTGGTTGATATTGTATTAATATTGTAAGAAGAAATTCTGTCTTGGTCATTCATGGGAGTTAAAGGGTTAAAAGTTATAAATAACTGACCGCTTAAAGGACTATGACAATCAGTTATTTGTGAATTGTTGTAAGTGGTTAATTTCTCTTGTTTTGATAGGGAATAGATGAGAGTAATGAGGAGGCAATGGGTGAATTTATGGCTGATAGTACGGCTAAACTTACCTCTGCGGTGAGGTAAAGTCATTTATCTCCAATTTTGATAAAAAAGAAAGTTATTTGGGTATTTTTTTTTTCGCGAGTGTAAATCTTCCCTCTTCATTGTTGAAAGGGGCTCATATAAAGAACATTTACCTCACTGTCTGCAAATGTTCTTGTCACTTTCACAGTTCACTTCCGGAATTGCTTGAGAAGAAGAGAATTATTGACATGCACACAACTATTGCCACAGCTCTTTTGGAACACATTAAGGTGAGGGCTAATTCCACATGGGGCAAACAACACTGTGATCATTTACGTCACTTGATTTCACCTTCTCACTTTTTAAATTGTTTGTAAATATTGACCGTTTTCCTCAGCAAGTTATAAAAATCGTTAATTTTTTTTTCAGTCCGGAAAGCTTGATATCTACTTCGAGACTGAAGAGAAGATAATGAGTAAAGCTACTTTGGTAAGTCAGATAAACGTCCCATAAGCTTTGCACCAAAAATAAACGTTAGATAAGTAAAACAGGTTTTTTAACCCCAGTAGAACGTGTCCAAAACAAGCTCATTGCCAAACGAGGTTGTCTTTCAGATTTATTCTACTGTGCTTTTAAAAATTGGTAACTATTCTATTTCAGGACAAATCAATCCTGGAAATAATTCAGGATCCCGAAGGTTAGTGAAGAGAATTTTACATGTGGAAACGTAGTGTATATAAATAATCGTAAGAGTTTGTAGAATACAATTGAATTTCAATTTTTCGATTACTTGCCTTTTCGTATCATATATATATTTTTTGCATTCCATCTTCAGTTGGAACTCCTCAGGATAAACTTCGCTTATTTATCATCTACTATGTTTCTGGACCAACCATGTCACCGGTGAGTAACCATTGAGTGTTCTTCGACGGATAATCAGGGATTGGATCGATATTACTTCGGTATTACAGCGTGCTCGTCATTGGCTAAGAAAACTCGCACCAACCATCTAACCAATCAGATGCTTAGCTGAAACCATCACGATTAGGTTACCCGCGTTTTTCGCGCTCTAGGCAGTTGTCTCACTTTTACTTTGAGCAATTATCGATTTCTTTGACTTTCTGATTTCTCAAAGCTCTATCAGGCTCCAAAATTACCCTGAACAACCAGCTTAACCTTGCCTTATCGTTTGTCGTTCTCAGGCGGAGCTTGATCAGTTTTCGTCTGCTTTACTGGACGCCGGCGCTGACCTTGCTCCATTAGAGTTCATCAAGAAGTGGAAGTAAGTG